CAGAGATCCACCTGCCTCTGCCTCCCAAGTGCTGGGACTACAGGTGTGTGCCACCACACCCGGCTTATTTTTATTATTTTAATTTTTGTGTGTATGAGTGTATTGCTTGCATGCTTATAAGTGCACCCATGTGGTGCAATGTGCATGGAGGCCAGAAGAGGGATGCAGTTCCCTGGAACTGGAGTTATAGATGTTGTTAGCTGCCATATGGGTGCTGGGAACTGAACCCGAGTTCTCTGGAAGAGCAGCCAGTGCTCTTAAATGCTGAGCCTATTATTTTAATTTTTGTGTGTATGAGTGTATTGCTTGCATGCTTATAAGTGCACCCATGTGGTGCAATGTGCATGGAGGCCAGAAGAGGGATGCAGTTCCCTGGAACTGGAGTTATAGATGTTGTTAGCTGCCATATGGGTGCTGGGAACTGAACCCGAGTTCTCTGGAAGAGCAGCCAGTGCTCTTAAATGCTGAGCCACCTCTCTAGCCCCAAGGAAGGAAATTTTGACATATATTGCAACACGGAAATTTTTTTTTTTTTGAGACAGGCTCTGCCAGTAGCCCCAGTTGTCCTGGAACTCACTTTGTAGATCAGGCTGGACTTGAACTCACAGAGATCCACCTGCCTCTGCCTTCCAGGATTAAATGTGCACACCACCACGCCTGGCCAAATCTTTTTTTTTTTAAGACTTTTTAAAAATGGGCATCTAATCCCCTAGAACTGGAGTTACAGATGGTTGTGAGCTGCCATGTGAGTCCTGGGACCAAAACCTGGTTCCTCTGCAAGAACATCAAATGCTCTTAACTTCTAAGCCATCTCTCCAGGCCCCAACATAGACAAACCTTGAGGACATCTTGCTAAGTGAGATAAGCCAGTCACAGCTGCTTTTTGATTCTATTTATATTAAGTATAGCAGTCAAAATCATAGTTACAAAAATAGAACGGTGGCTGCCAAGGCGTAGGGAAAGGGGGCCTATTAGCTACTTTTCTCATTGCCTTACAAAATACCGACCAGCTTAAGGAAGAAGGATCTATTTTGGCCTGCGATGTGACAGTCCTTCAAGATGGGGAAGTCTTGGAGTATGAGGCAACTGGTCACATGTGATCCATAGTCAGGAAGCACAGAGATGAGTGTTGGTGCCCAGCTTGCCTTCTCCTTTTTATTCAGTCCAAGACCCCGTGAGACAGTACCACCCACATTTAGGAGGAGTCTTCCTATAATTCAACCTAGAAACTCGCAAACAGGTCCAGAGGTTTGTCTCCTAGCTGATTCTAGACCCTGCCATGTTGACAATAAATTTTAACCATCACAGGGAATGAGGAGTTTTGCTTAGTGGGTACAGAATTTGAGTTTGTTTTGTTTTGTTTTTGTTTTTATTTTTAATTATTTTATATGTATGACTGTATTGCCTGCATGTATATAAGTGCACTTGTGTCATTCAATGCCCACAGAGGTCAGAAGAGGCCATGGGGATCCCCTGGAACTGGAGTTATGACCATGCTAGGCCTGAGTTTTGAAATAATTGTACAACATGGGTTCAATACCATTGAAACTTAAAAAAAAACACTTAAAAATGGTTAAGATAAACCAGGCATGATGGTGCACACATTTAATCCCAGTTCTCTGAAGGCAGAGGCAAGAGGATTTCTGTGAGTTCCAGGCCAGCTGAGGCTACAAGGAGACCTGTCTCAAAAAAAAATGAAAAAAATGAAATCAACTTTCTGGAGCTCAGTAACTAATTATGTAATTTATGACTGTTTTTTTTTTTATTCTGCATTTTACTAGATGCTTAAGTAAGGGCTAAAGTTTCTTAAGTGTCACATGTGTTAGGCACTACAATAAGCAAATTTCATATCTTAACCACTGTATGGAAGTGTGCAGCGAAGACCACCAACTAGACACCTCCCTGTGGGCTTCTTTCATTTTTAAAGATTCTTTCAAAGATATTTGTGAACCATCTTCCTAACTACATATTTGGTGCATTTAATCTCTTGTTCTTTGTGTGTGTGTGTGTGTGTGTGTGTGTGTGTGTGTGTCTTCTTGAGACAGGGTCTTCCTGTAGCCCCAGTTAACCTGGAATTTACTATGTAGATGAGGCTGACCTCAATCTCACAGAGCTCTGTCTGCTTCTGCTTCCCAAGAGCTGGGATTAAAGGCATGTGCAACCACACCCAACTTGTTCACTCGTTGTATTTTTAAAAAAATTTTATTTTATTATTTTTATTTTATGTGTATGAGTGTATTGCCTGCATACATGTAAGTTCACCCATGTCATGCAGTGCCTGTGGAGGTTGGATCCCCTGGAATTGGAATTGTGGATGGTTGTTAGCCGTCATGTGGGTGCTGGGACCTGAACCTGGGTCCTCTGCAAGTGCTGCCAGTGCTCTTAACTGCTGAGCCATCTCTCCAGCTTCCTGATCACTCATTCTTAAAACTAGTCTGACTTGGCATGAACCACCATACCTGGCCCTGCTATTTCTTTTCAATTGGCAAGTATTTATGGATACAGTGTTTGGGACTTTGCTTTAAAATGCTCTAACCCTAGGAAGAGTAGGTGGGAGAGAAGGGATATGATTGACAGAACTATTTTTTGACAGAATTATTATTTTATTTTTTAATATTTTTATTGAATTCTTAAGAATTTTATAGAATGTATTTTTATCATAGTCACACTCCTTCTGCAATACGCATCCCCCTTACTACCCTCTGCCTGATTTCATGTCCGCTATTATTATTTTTTAAGGCCTACCGAGTCTAATTTTTGTCCCCAAATGCCCTTCAGTCTGGGTCCATCCACTGAGGCCTGGCCAACCCACCCAGACTCACGCCCTTACATAAAATTGACTCTTCTTTTCCCTGCAGCTATCAGTTGCCAACAGTTCCTCTGCTAAGGTTGAGGCTTCTTGCCCACCTACCCTGCTCTCTGCTGGGATTTTGTCTGGCTTGAGTTTACTCTCACAACTGCTGTGAGTTCCCATGAATAACTGCCCTACTGTCTGGAGAACACTGTTTCTTGTGGTCATCCACCACTTGTGGTTCTTTGAGTCTTTCTGCCCCTCCCCCACAATGATCCCTGAGCCCTGGGAGGCAAGGGTTTGATATAGGTGTCCCATTAAAGGCCAAGCACTCTTTCCCCTTAGGACTGCCTTCATTATGTTCCATTGATTTTGGCATGTTGCGTTTTCACTTTCATTCAGTTCTAGGAATTTTAAAATTTCCTTCCTGATTTAGACTCTGACCCAGAATTCATTCAGTAGTGTGTTGTTTAGTTTCTATGAGTGTGTGTACTTTTCCCCATTTCTAATTGTGTTGATTTTCAGCTTTATTCCTTTATCGTCAGATAGGATACAGGATGTTATTTCAATTTTCTTTCAATTTGTTGAGACTTGGTGTGTGTTCTAATATGTGTCACTCCTGTTCAATATAGTATTTGAAGTTTTAGCTAGATCGATGAGACAAGTGAAGAAAGTAAAGGGGACACAAATAGGAAAGGACAAAGGCAAAGAATCCTTATTTGCAGATGATGAC